ATGATTACAAACAATATAATGCTTCCATTTCATTATTCATTGCCTTAACCCAATTTGGGTCTACAAAGGCTTCTTCAAAACATTTTGGTTCAATTGTTTTATTTAGATTGGAACAGAAACACTTATTTTCAATACTTGTATGTTTAATACCATATCTATGCCTCCCTTCAACAATATCATCATTGAATTTCACAAGCATTTGAGACTCTCTTCTAGACCTAGATGCCCCTATTGATTGTCCTAGAGAAGGCAGTGACTCTAAAAATGACTACTTTCCACGGTAAGATCTGAAGGATTTGGCATAGTCCTATCAGATGAAGGTTCAGATGCCTCGGTAGTCTGGTTATTATTATTCATAGTAGTATCAAAAAAAGTTTCACCCAGATTTCAAGTTGCATTAGAAACATCCATCTGATGGTTAACACTCAAGTCATTTAGATCAATTAAATCATTCATATATTCAGAACTATTTTGATCATCATAGGAAAAAAGGACTAGTGAATTGATAAAATTAAATTGATTATCAATAGTTGTTGATTTCAATTTAAAAGGAAAAACTGATTCATAGAACTTCACATTCCTGAAAAAAAAAATAGAATCTGTATCAATACTTAATAGCTTATAACCCTTTTTCTCTGAAGAATAACATAACAAAACACATTTTAAGCACGTTCAGAAAACTTATCATGATTATTAAGTTTCGTAGCAAAACATAGGCTACTAAAAACTCTTAAGCAAAAACAAGTATTTTCTTAAAAACAAGTTCATAAGGAGATTGACCTTTCAGAATAGAGGTGGACATTTTTTTTATCGAAAAAACTGAAGTTAGAATAGCCTCCCCCAATACTTTATAGAAGAGCAAACTGAAAAAGTAAAGATCTAGCAACATTAAGAATATGTATGTCTTTCCTTTCCACCACCCCATTTTGCTATGGTGCGTAAACACAAGAAGTTTGATGAATAACACCATTAAGTTCAAAAAAAGATTCCATCTTATGATTTAAAAATTTAGTCCCATTATCAGAATGATCTATTTTAATTTTAGAATCAAACTGATTCAACAAAATATTGAAAAATAAAGTAAAACAAACATAAACTTCATCTTTACTTTTCAAAAGATAAACCCAAGCAGCCCTTGTGAAATCAATCACAACAGTCAAGAAAAACATATAGTCTTCTCTAGTAGACACTTTATAAGGACCCCACACATCTAAATGAATAAACTCTCCAAGTTTGGACGAACTATGAACACTAAGAGGGAAGGAATCACAAGTTTGCTTAGCCTTGTGATAAACATCACAAGGAGGAATAGAAGAATTATCAAAGTTAAGTTTATCTTTTAAAGAATTTAAAGCTTTTTCAACAGGATGACCCAACCTACTATTCCATGTAACTTCAGAAACACCACATTTTACAAAATTACAAGAACTACTACCTGAGGGAAAGGCATCGGATAATACAATCCCCTAGACTCTCTACCATTCTCCAAAACCTTCTTTGATTGTAATTCCTGAATTTTACTACAATGCTCATTAAAAACAACTTCAGAATTTTTATCTTTGCACAGCTTGTGAATAGAAAGAAGGTTTACATTAAAGTTAGGAACAAGAAAGACATCAAAAATTGTTAGTTTTTCAGAAAACTGCAAGTTTCCAGTTTTATCTTAGCAGAAGAATCAATTGGATGATTAAGAAGAAAAATTAGTTTAGAAACATCAACAATATTTTGTAGAAGTCACTCAGATGAAGTCATATGTGGATTAGCACACGAGTCAATAATCCACTTTTGATGATTAGTAGTAGAGTTGTAAAACCTAAAAAGAGGAATACATGCTATATTAGCATTGGCAGGAGGATCCTCAAAAGCAGAGGACTTTTCATTAATAAGAGTCAAGAGTTTATTATACTCCTCACTTGTAAGTCAATAAGTTCCACCACTCCCAGAGACACTAGAATTAGCACCAGCAGAAGAAGTACTACTAGAAGGAACGGAAGAGGAATTAACATAAAAAGATTTATTATGATTTCTTTGATTATCACTGTTAAATTCATTCCTAGGTTTAAATTCTTTTGGATAACCAATCAATTTATAACACCTGTCAATAAGGTGGAATTAAGACCACAGTTCTTACATTGTATGTTCTGATTTCTTCCCCTACTAGAATTAGAACCTTGACCTCTTTTATCATTAAACCTACTTTTAAATGCAGAGGATTGAGTTTCAGACATACTAGAGACATATGAGAAAACCCCATTCTTCTGATGAGATTCCTTTCTAGAAACAATAGAGAAAGCAATTTTAACATTTGGAAGAGGATCCATCAGAAGAATATAAGAGTTTACTTGATTAAAAGAATCATCAAGACCACTTAAAAACTACATCAGTTTCATGATTTTTGAATGATCATTATATCTAGTAGCAGCTTCAAAAGTACATTAAACAAGATTAATAAGACCATCAAATTCTTTCCAAAGAGTATCAAGTTTATTAAAGTATTCAGATAGAGAAGACCCATCGTGTTTAATTGAATTAATGCGTTGATGTATTTTAAAAATAACAAATCCATTAGCCTTGTTATAGGTTTCAAAAAGCTCATTCCATATATCTACAACAAACTCAGAGTATGCATGTCCAAAATAAATTGACTCTGACAAAGATCCAAGGATCCAAGAACATACTACGACATTAGCACGTTCCTATTTTAAAGTTTTAAGTTCATTAATAGAGTCCTTATTTATAGTCCCTTCTTCAAACCCTAATTTATTTCTAGCCTTAGGACTTCATATCATAGAGCTACGCCATACACGAAAACTATAAGTCCAAGTTAATTCGAAACTCACAATTGTAGTAAAAGTATTATTAGATGGATGTATATACAAAGGATCATCGTAGTTCACAGGATCAACTTTAGAACCACTACCAGACTTAAGAGAGCATGTAAAGTCAGTCATAGTACTCACATAGAATTACCCAAGTAGAAATAACACAACAATAAAAAAACAAACATAGACTACTGTGATCCTTAAGTGTCCAGATGGTCACCACAGTATGTTGGGGCCCAAAACAAGAGCTATAGAGTCAAGAAACAATCACATAGATTAAATAACTAGAAAATAACAATAACTGGTGTACTCAAGACAACCAGAATCTACCCCATCCACAACTAGAACAAGGATAGAAGGGAACAAGAAACACTCAAAAAGCTATAAGCTGAAGAACCAAAACGGATCGACTCCTCTTACTCCAATCCCTTTAAGAGTTAGCGGTGATGAAATCTATTAACAAGAGTTATTAAAATGAACATGATTAATCGATTGAAGAACAACGAAGATTTGATTCGTCAATCAAGGATCTCTACTTGACGATGATGGTCACTCAAGGATCTCCACTCGAAGACAAACCTGCAAGATCACAAAAGAACTCGGATTAACAGGATCTTCTCACGTAGATGGACGTCAAACAACAGGCGAACATCAGAACAAAAATCGAAGCCCTAAAGCTCTTATACGATGTGAAAAAACATAGAAATAAACTTTCCCAATATCATCATCTATTATATCAATTTAGGATAAATAGACAGATGGTTTTCAAATACTTACAAAAGAAACCTCACTACATAAACCCTAATCTACTCTGACAACGATCACACACAACCTAATCTATAAAGATTAAGAACAACAGAAGAACTAATAAGACTATACAAACCCTAATCCTTCACAACAACGAGAGACAGAAAACAAATGATCCGAAAAATATCTACTGGCTAAATGAACAGAAAACACTCCAACTCTATATTATATACTTCCAGTAAACGGAGCCTTTAACCCGCATGTAAACCCGACTACATTATTACCAATTATGCATTGCAGTCCTCTTCTTCAAAACGACATCACAAATAACCCAAATTACATAAATAAATATTAGAATCAACCTAATACTTTTCATATAACCCCCTGTAATTTTCCAAAAATGATGAGTTTGCAATATCCACAACATTTAACACATGTATACATCTTACTTAGAAAGCTATTTCTGCTTTGTATCAAAAGAAAAAGACTTTAAACTATAAGAAAACAAAATATATGATAAATTCAAAGTCTTAAAATAAGTTTTGAGTCTTCCATTGACTTCCAAGTCTTCAAAGGTTATTTTCTACTTATTATTTTATAGATTCAAAGTTAAAATAACTTCCAAGTCCTCCATTGACTTTGAAGCCTTCAAAGGTTATTTCTATGTTATAAATTCAAAGTCTTAAAATAAGTTCCAAGTCTTCCGTTGACCTCCAAGTCATCAAAGGTTCCATTCTACTTATTCTTTTATAAATTCAAAGTCTCAAAATAAATTATAGTCTTCCATTGACTTCCAAGTCTTCAAAGGTTGCTTTTTGCTTACTGTTTTATAAATTCATTGATGTCTTGACCACTACTTCTTCAAATTAACCAACACATTGTGCTTTTGGAAGAATGGTTTCACGATGAAATGAACAAAGTAACATAATGAGATGACAATAAGATAAAATAAGTTAAACTCATATTGATTCAACATTTCAAAGATTTTTATTATTTGATTTATTATAATGGTAAAGTTTATTGTAGAAGATTTTACTAAATGTGGTAATTTTGTCACTAGGAAAACTTGTCTCATTACAATCAGTTTGGCTGTATTCGAATTTGTTAAATGGGAGTATTCCTGTTTCAATCGGGCAACTTGCTAAATTCCAGACTTTAGATTTCTCTAACAGTTCTTTAGAAGGAGTAGTTTCTAAAGCCCATTTTGCTAACCTTTCGATGTTGAAGAACACATATGCTTCTTTTAACACAAAGTTGATATTCAATGTTTCTTGTGACTGGATACCTGCATTCTAATTGGTAGTTCTTGACCTCAGTTCTTTCAATGTTGCAAATGGATTCCCATTGTGGCATCAAAATCAAAGGAAAGTTGAGCAATTAGTGTTGTCCAATGCTACAATCTCAGGACCTCTTCCCACATGGTTGCGGAAGATGCCCATCATTATTTACTTAGATCTCTCTAATAACAAACTCATCGGACCTTTAATGAACCTTCCTAATGGGGCAACTTATGGTGGGTATGTAGATGCTCCTTCATTGTTTATGGAAAATAACTTTTTCAATGAGCCGATTACAAGTTCATTGTGCAGATGGAGAGATTTGGTATTTCTTGATCTTTCCAAAAATAGGTTAACCAGTAAAATTCCCAAGTGTCTTGAGAATCTGCATGGGTTGTTTACTATGATACTTAGCTCAAATCGGTTGTCTGGTGTCATTCCAAGCTCTATAGCTCTTAATTTATTGCATCGATTAAAATTAAATGACAACAACTTTGTTGGTGAGCTTCTTCGAGAGTTGCGGAATTTACGATATTTATGTATCTTAATTGTGGGTGATAATAGATTGTCTGGAAATCTACCCGAATGGTCCAGGAAAGAACTTACATATTTGGTAGTTTTGAGGTTGAACAAAAGCAACTTCCCTGGAAGAGTTCCTCAATCATTTTACAAAGCTTCAAATCTTCGAATTTTGGATGTTGCCCACAACAACTTATTGGGACGCATCCCTCAATGTCTTGGAAAATTGAATGCCATGGTTAGCGGTTTCGGCCCTTTGAACATCCATCTTTTAAAAATGATGAGAATGTACAACAGGTCTTGAAAGGTGTTGATCTTGAATATAAAGGAACATGGTATATGGTTTATAACATGGACCTTTCAAGCAATCAACTTGTTGGAGAAATACCGGTTGAGCTAACTGCACTTTCCATGTTCGTGGGTCTTAATTTGTCTAATAGTCATCTTGCTGGCTATATTCCAGACACCATTGGTAGCTTGATGAAGTTAGAATCTCTTGATTTATCTGGAAACGAGTTCACTGGGGCGAACCCTCCGAGCATGGCAGATTTGACTCTTTTGAGCCGTTTGAATTTGTCACATAACTTGTCCGGACGAATTCCAATAGGAAGGCAACTACAGACCCATACAGATCTGTTAATCTATATATTATTAGCCCGCTTGTTTATGGGCCCTTTAGTCTTTAGCCCATTAGGGTTTCTGTCTAGCTAGTATTTATATCCGCTTTATTCTTTGTAGTCTTTATGCTTTTCTTTGGAGACTCTTGTAATCCCTCTTTTATCATAATCATATGACAATATTAACATGGTATCAGAGCGGAGGTTCGATACATTGTTAGAAGTCTTTGTAGCAGTCATCAGTGGCGCAGGTCGATTGCTTCCGCTGATGATTCGTTGCTATTATTGATTTGTTGCTGCTGTTGATTCGTTACTGCTGTTGATTCGTTGCTATTGTTGATTTGTTGGTGCTTTTGATTCGTCATTGCTGTTCATTCGTTATCCGATTGATTGCTTCCGCTGGTTTGTTACTCCTTATTCTCATATTCTTATACTGTCATTGTGGTTATTTATTCATTGTCAACATGGCCGGAAAGGATGATTCCCTTCAGTCAATCAGTACTCGTTTGGATGGAAAGAATTATACGTATTGGAGTTACGTTATGAAGAACTTCCTTCGTGGGAAGAATATGTGGGGCTATGTCACTGGAAAAAAAAGCAAAACCCTCAGTGCCTCAAACTGATAATTATGATTTGTTGCTTGATGTATGGGAGACTGATAACTCCAAGGTCATTACTTGGATGAATAACTCTGTTACTCAATCTATTGGTATGCAGTTGGCTAAATATGACACAACAAAAGAAGTTTGGAATCACTTGGAGAGACTGTATACTCAGTCCAACTTTGCTAAACAATATCAGTTGGAACATGATATTCGTGCCCTTCAATAGAATGACCAGAGTATTCAAGATTTCTATGTTGCTATGTCAGATCTGTGGGATCAATTGGCTCTTACTGAATCTAAAAATTTAAAAGATTTCAAGCCTTACATTGCTAGGAGGGAGGAACAACGCTTGGTCTAGTTCTTGATGGCCTTGCGTTCTGATTTTGAAGGCCTATGTGGAACCATTCTTCATCACTCTCCTCTCCCCTCAGTGGATTTTGTTGTCCATGAGTTAATTGCAGAAGAGAACCGTATCAAGTCTCATGCGGATAAAGGTTTTAAAACAACCTCTATTCCTACTCCCGCTCCTGTTGTGCTTGTTGTTTCCTCCAACCAGTCTCGACAAAGTTCAAGGGTTGCTCATGATGAGTGTGCATTCTCCAAATAGAAAAATCATTGGAAAGCTCAGTGTCCATTGTTAGTCAACAAGGATAAATCTGGTCAACCTCAGTCAGGGCAACAAAATAGGTCTGGTCAACAAAAGTTTCAGCCACATTCCTATGGTACTCCTCCATGGACCTCTCATCCTCCGCAGTTTGCGGCTGCTGCTGTGCCACCAGTTGACACAGAATATGTTGGAAACATGCCACCATCTGCATTGGATCCCAAAGTGTTTGAGAGTTTCAGATAATATTTGGCCTCTAATCGCACTGCCATGTCTGCATCTATGACTTATTCTGGGCCTTCTGCATCTGATACATCAGGTATTCCCTCATCTTTGTGGATTTTAGATTCTGGTGCAACTCATCATATGACTCCTCATTTGTCATCATTTGCTTCTTTGTCGCAAGTGTCATCTATTTCTGTTAAGTTTGCTAGTTGAGGGTGTTGGGTCTGTCTCTGTTTCTCATATCACTCTTCCTGATGTTTATTACATTCCCAAACTTACTTTGAATCTTGCCTCAGTCATTCAGTTATGTACGTCTGGTCACTGGGTGTTCTTTTTTGATTCAGTCTGTGTTATACAGGATCAACACACCCAGAAGGTGATTGGGATCGGCTGTAGGGTGGGAGAACTATATGTCTTAGAGGTCCTCAAAGTATCTGTTGTTGCTGCTTCCAGCATTGATTTATCTTCTTTTCGTTTGAGTCCTTTGTAGTCTGAGTTTTATCTTTGGCATTCTTGTTTGGGACATGTGTCTGTATCACGTTTGAATTTTTTAGCATCCAGAGGTGTTTTGGGTCATTTAAACTCTTGTGATATTTCTGATTGTAGTGGCTGTAAAGTGGCAAAATTCTCTGCTTTACCCTTCAATAAAAGTATGTCTTGTTCTACTGCTCCTTTTGACATTATTCATTCTGATGTGTGGGGTCCTGCACCAACATCCACAACGGGTGGGTCAACCTATTATGTATCTTTTATAGATGATTATACTCGATATACATGGGTTTATCTTATGAAACGCATATCTAATTTCTTTGATATTTACAACAATTTTAGAGCTCTTGTTAAAAATCGACATTCGGCTGTGATTAAGTCTTAGGGGGTGAATATACCTCTAATGATTTCACTCATTTACTTGCTTCTGATGGTACCATACACCTATTTTCGTGTACTGACACACCTCATGAAAATGGTGTTGCAGAACGAAAACACCGTCATATTGTTGAGACTGCCCACTTATTGCTTCTGTCTGCACAGGTCCCTAGTGCCTTTTAGGGAGAAGCAATCCTAACTGGTGTGTATGTGATTAATCGTATCCCTACTTCATTGAACTCAGGAATGTCTCCTTTTGAGAAGTTGTATGGTCATCTACCAGATTACTCTTCCTTACGAGTTTTTGGATGTAGTTGTTTTGTTCTTCGTCCTCATGTTGAAAGGAACAAGTTGGGGTCGAAATCTACTATTTGTGTATTTTTGGGGTATGGTATTGGATAGAAGGGATACCGTTGCTATGATCCTGTGAGTAAGAAGTTATATGTTTCCCGGCATGTTACTTTTTTGGAACATATTCCTTTCTACTCAATCCCTGTTACAGCCCACAATGTAACACAGTCCGATCTTTTGCATATTGATCCTTTTGAGGAAGATATAGAGGCTCGAGATTCATCTATGTCACATGATTCCTCATCTCATGACACACCCATCTCTTCAGAGGGTGCCTCGTCTCCACCTGTTCCTTTCATCATTTGTCTGAACCTGAATCATATAAAGAAGTTGTTTTAGATCCTCTTTGGCAGAATGTTATGGCTAAAGAACTCACTGCTCTCCATCAGACTCATACATGGGATTTGGTTTCTCTTCCTCCTGGGAAACATACGATAGGCTGTCGTTAGGTGTACAAGATAAAGACTAAAGTTGATGGTTCTTTTGAACGGTACAAGGCTAGACTTGTAGCAAAAGGGTATTCCCAACAGTATGGTTTTTACTAGAAGGAGACATTTTCCCCTGTGGCAAAGATGACGACAGTTCGTACTATGATTGCAGTTGCATCCGTCCGATAGTGGAAGATCTTTCAAATGGATGTCAAGAATGCCTTTTTGAATGGTGACCTCCATGAAGAGGTTTATATGACTCCTCCCCCTGGTATTCAACACCTGCCGGGTGAAGTTTGTCGGCTTTGCAAAGCTTTGTATGGGCTTAAGCAAGCCCCTCGTGCTTGGTTTGAGAAATTCTCTACTGTGATTACCTCTCTTGGATTTGTCCAGAGTAATCATGATTCTACTCTGTTTGTTAGATGCTTGAGTGCGGGACGGATTCTTCTGTCCTTATATGTGGATGACATGATTATTACAGGTGATAAACATGGTGGTATTGAGTCTTTGAAGCGTGATCTCGCTCATCGATTTTCTATGAAGGATTTGGGCTTGCTGCGTTATTTCTTGGGTATTGAGGTTGCTCAGTCTAAGAAAGGGTACCTTCTTTCTCAGACTAAATATATATATGACTTGTTTACACAGGCGGGCCTCTCTGACAATCGGACTGTTGATACTCCTCTTGAAACCAATGTACGATATTCTCCTACTGATGGTATTCCTTTGTCCGATCCGAATCTTTATCGCACTATTGTTGGATGTTTGGTTTATCTCACAGTTACTCATCCAGATATTGCTCATGTTATTCATGTTGTCAGTCAGTTTGTTACTGCTCCTACCTCTGTTCATTCGGGAGCTGTTCTTCGTATTCTGAGATATCTTTGTGGCACTCAGTTTCAAACTCTCTTGTTTCCTTCGACATCTTCTCTTGAGTTACGTGTCTATAGTGATGCTGATTGGGATGGTGATCGTCATGATCGTAAGTCCAACACTGGATTTTGTGTATTTCTTGGAGAGTCTCTCATTTCATGGAAGATCAAGAAACAAGATGTTGTCTCTAGATGTTCTACAGAGGCTGAATATCGTGCTATGGCTATAACTACATGTGAGATTATCTGGTTACGGTGGCTGCTTGTGAATATGGCAGTTTACATTTCCTCATCTACTCCCTTGCATTGTGACAACAAAAGTATGATATAAATTGCAAAGAATTTTGTTTTTCATGAGCGGACAAAGCACATTGAGATTGATTGTCACTTTACCCATCATCACCTACAGCTCGGGACCATTTCGCTTCCATTTGTTTCATCAACATTGCAACTTGCGGATATTTTTACGAAGGCTTTATCGGCTTCTCGATTTCGGTTCTTATGTGACAAACTCTCAATGCTAATTGTTGCGGCACTCTGAGTTTCAGGGGGGATGTTACTCTATATATTATTAGCCCGCTTTAGTCTTTAGCCCATTAGGGTTTCTGTCTAGCTAATATTTATATCCGCTTTATTCTTTGTAGTCTTTATGCTTTTCTTTGGAGACTCTTGTAATCCCTCTTTTATCATAATCATATGACAATATTAACAAGATCCATCCATATATGAAGGGAAACAATATCTATGTGGACCTGCATTGCCTAACAGTTGCACAAATCCAGGAAAAGGTCCAATAACAACAAGAAAGAAGAAACATGGAGCAGCTGATGAGAAGACCAAGGTATGGCTGTTTTATGTTGACATAATTTGTGGTTTTGCAATAGGTTTCTGGGGTGTTATTGGGGTTTTGTTGTTGAAGAGATAATGGAGACAGAAGGTTTTCATGTTTGCTAAGGAAACCATGGAAAAGAAATATGTTGCAGTCGTGGTGAGAGTTAACAAGGTCAACATAGGAAGAGAAGCCGTGTAGATTTTGTGGAATGCAAGGACTTTTCAATGTTTATTTTGTTTTCTAATACCACCACTGTGTTTTTTTGTACTACTGTTTGGATTTTATATTTGTAATATGCATGTTATTTAAAGTTTCGAAACATTTGTTGGATTTGGTATTTATATATACAAGATCGAGTGGTTAGATTAGATTACTATGGGATTGAGTTCCATTGGATTTCAAAAGAATCAACACGTGGCAAGATTTCAACACGAAATACCATGCTCATTGACTCTCAACATGCTTTTGCTCTCACAACAACTTGCTGCTGATTTTTGTCACTTTTTCCATCAACATGGCCCCAAC